TCACTCTGCACTTCCCTTTTTTTTCCCTGGTATTATGTGTAATTATATCCTTCAGTTTCTTATGTAGTTTTATTCCTATGTAGCTTTTTCATACTCTTGTCTAAGTAACCACGTATTGGTGGCTTGCTGGCGTTTGACAAGTACTGGGTATGGTCAAGCTAGCCTTAATCTTACCGCTTCTCTCCTGTCCTGTTCCCTTTCCTGTTGTATATTCCTTGGGCTATAGTAATGGATTATTAAGAATAATGTCACTAGGATTTTTCAGGTTTCAAAGTAATTGTAGAAACAAACCCTATGATGCAAATGTGTGTGTGTATGTTAACCAGTTGTGCCATTTTCAGTGCAAATACATCATGATTAAAGGGTCTCCAGCAGACTACCTCTTTTATGGCTAAACTGTTTCCATTTTCCCAAAGATCATAACTGGGTATCAATTGCTTGCAAATATTTGATTTAGACTTTTTTTTGGGGGGGCAGGGGCGGGGGGCGGCGCACGATGGCATGGACTTTAGGCACCAGTAAGAAATCAGACAGACCTTGTCCCAAATAGAATTTATTTTCCTCTTACACTTGAAAATGCCACAATGGACTAAGTTTAGAAAGGCACAGTACACAGTACACTGAAGAGTAGGGCTTGTAAAGTGCATGCATGCCAGCTATGCCCACAGAATCCTGTGTTTGCAAGCATGAGTGATAAAATGCTGCTTTTGCACTTGGCCATGTCCTCTGGCAGTGAAACTACTTGAAGACAGCTGTACTGTGGGCACATTCACCCTGTGAAAGTGCTGGCTTTTGTTAGAACTTTCTATTTGGCAAGACTTTGGCTGGAGGGCAGTTTCTAGAGAGCATATTCTGTCATCAGCAGTCCCCCGAGTAAAGTAGCTCTGTTTGTTTGGTAACCTTGATGGGATAGCTGTTCTGCTCCTTCCAGTGGGTTGCTTTCCCAGGCAAAATGCTCTGACTGACTTCCACCACTACCACCAGCAGTAGGGCGCCTAGACCTCCAGTTAGCCAACTAGGTATGTAGAAACGCAGAATTTTGTGGCCAGAAGGGCTCCAAGACTGCTTCTGAGGGATGTATTCTTTGCTCTTTGTGGACGATGATCCTCTGTAGTAAAGAAAGAGTAGAAAGCTGCATGTGTTCTCAAAGACTGCGGCGAATGTGACTGACCGTAAGGGCCTAGCAACCTGATGCTGCTGTGTATGATTTTTCTTTTAGTGTTCATGTAGTGGATTTGTTTGGCATTTTGCAGTCCTTAGTTTGGAAGTGTCATAGATCATCTACTCTCTGAAGGGAGACATTGAAAAATAGTTGTTTCATTACCCACCTAAACCCTGGGGAAATCTAAATACCTTAAAGTTTAAGATATTTTATTCTTAGATTTCACAATGAAAAATTAATGATATATGGGGAAAAGAGACAGACTTTTCTCTTAGACATTTGTCTTCATCTCTTCCTTCTTGTTTTTTTTTTTTTTTACATTTTTGGCTTATTTGACTTTTTTTTTTTAAATTGTTTCTGTCATCAGCCGGTTCAAAGAACTGCAGCAGCAACTGCCCTTTAATAAGCCAGGTGCAGTGTTAGTGTGTGATGGTGGGTGTTTTTTCCTCTTGTTATTAAGCTGCCTAGAAGTCAGACTCCCTTCCCTCCTTCCCTCCCTCCCTCCCTCCCTCCTTCCTTTTGTATACTACCTTTTAATGTGTCGTATTTGAATCCATTCATTATCAGTAATTAGTCATGCAAAATAATGGGCTGTATGCTTTCAGGCAGCGGTTAGAATTATCTACTCTCTTTCCAGAGATAGCTAATACCCAGTCTGGGGTCAGTATAATATCAGTAATATTTAATACACACTAAGCATGTCTTCTATAAACTATTATTGGAGGTAGGCACTAAAACTGAGGGGTTGTTGGTCTTGTATCAATACAACATCTTAGAAACTGAGCAAAAAATGACTTGAGAAGTAGGAAACTGTTTCTTGTGTGAAATCTGTGCCGAGTTCTGAAATATCAATTTGTAAGTGAGAGATAAAGTTATGTTAAATGTAAAATTATATGTTGTTATATAGGTGGGGTCAGTGTTTAATAAACAAGTTTCTGTGACCTGATTTGAAATTATTTGTGCTATACTGGTTTATCAGGTATGTCTAGCCACGAGCTTCCTCGTTATCAACTAGCTCCATTATATTTGATTCAATGTTTTGATGCTCAGTGAAGAAGAAGAAATCTTACTAAATCCAGTGACTCCTGAGCTAATTCAGAAGCTGCAGGTACATACATACACTAAATAGCTTTATGTTCTGTATAAATGGAAAGGAAGTTCGCTAGAGGCATTTCATGAAAATGCAAATGATCCTTTTGTTGGGTAATTTGACATTCATTTAATAAGACAGAAAAAAGACTGGAATGCTATTTGCTCCTCTTAGTGTATTTTGTTTGCTAGAAAACCTTGTTGTGAGTATGGATAGAGAGTCATTGACGGTTTCCATTTCCATCTTTCTTAGCCAAGAAAGAGCTGAATATCTCGTGTAAGTTTTGCATGCCAGTCGTCGTTGCAGGAAACTTTGTATTTCGGTTGACTGAGATAGATGTCATCTCTGCTGTTGTGCTAACCAAACATCGTGTTGCTTTGAAACTCTATGGTTTGTTGTGTGTCAAAGGTTTTGTGGTTTGAACACTGAAATATTAATGGCCGTGGGACAGATTGCTCCCTCCAGGTAAATACCAAAAGCTGTGTGGAACTGAACTTTGGGAGCTGGGGACACTGAAATTCCTGTGGTATCAAATTTGGGAAGGGAAGGAATGACACCTTACCATTGTTGGAGGGGGGTAAGTCCTTCCAAAAGTGTTGCTAGCAGATACAGGAGAGGCCAGGGTTATCTGTATAGAAACCTTGTTTCTTCTTGATTTTATTTACTGAAATCCGATCTGCTAGATTTTTTTTGTGGTAAAGCCCACTGTGGAGATAGAAACAGTCTCCTCTAGATGAAAAAGAGTAAATGCTAAAGGTAGTGAAAATGTATTGCTTCTCCAGGTACTGCCTGTGTCACTGAGGTAAATTGCAGCACCCTTGGTTGGCTTAATTTTTTTCTCCTTGTGGTTTACACAGGGAGGTTTATCTAGGCATGACTGTTGTAGAGTGCAAAATGGTTGGATATATTGGATATAAAGAAAAATAATTTCTTTAGATCTCATGTTCACTTCTGTCCTTTGATTTACTGAATAATGTAATGAAGAGTGTTCTAAAATTCCACTGGTCAGGGTCTGAGCGACCAGAAGAGATTATAGATGTGTTGTACCCAGTATGTGTACCCCCACAGAAAATCCAACCAGCACTTTAAACAGCAATCTTTCAGCAGTAGAATTCTTGGGAGCCCTCGTCTGCGAGGCCCTGGGTGAGGGTGATTCCACCAGGTACGACTGGGTGCACCTCCTCTTCTCCTCTTCCATCGTTTGCCTGAGGTGTCGTGACCTTGAGCTTCTTGGTGCACTTGGGTAGTAACCTGACATATCAGTGAAGAAACCTCTTTGAATTTCAAGGACATGCCGCTTTCCTTGTGGCTGCTTGATAGGCAGCCCTTCAAATTTCAGTGCTAGCCCTGTTCCTCTGACTTTGTTATCCTTGTGTGAAAGTATAACATGGTTAGGTATATAACTTCAACAGAGCTCACAGCTGAACAAGCCAAATGCCTGTTATTACTGCACATCAGACTAAATTTTTTTTAAAGAAAGATGAAGAATCAAGTTACACACTTTGGAGCTGTGCTGTTAGATATCTCTTACTGAATCAGGTTATTTTTTTTTCCCCTGAATGAGATGTTGTTTCACATAACTGTCCTTTGGTTTTCCATTTTTTTCTTGACTGTTATCATGCTTTAAAGTTTTCATTCATGCTTTGAGGGAAACTCTAGCATCCAAGGTAACTTTACAAAATGTATTCAAATAAACTATATAGCAAGCTAATGTGGCATTTCCTGGGCTGTTGTTTTGAAACCTGTATATTGTGACTGAGTGTCCTTTCTGAGACAGATTATTTCAGTAATTACAAAAAACCCCCAAACAACAACATGAAAATTTGCATAGCCAAATATAATGAATATTTAATGTCATCTGTTTACTGAAGATTTCAAATTTCTCATTCCCTTCTAGCATATATTTTTCAATTAGTCTGGAGAATCAGGTATCACTTCAGACACTGAGGACAGGTTTTCAAAATGATCAGCAGCAAAAATAGATTCGTTATGTCAGGTTCTGGTCAGAACCTGATTGCTGAGTGCTTCTGAAATCCTCTCCTCTAAAATACAGTAAGTTGACTTGGGATCTGCACAGGTGAGCCCATTTGATCTCACTCTGGGGCTTTTGTGTTGTCTGCTTACATTTTTTAAGTTTATTTAAACTTAATGTTTCTTGCAGCTTTTCTGGCTGTGACTGTGTCATCAGAGAGGCCGATTACTCACCTTTCATAGGCTGAATTTAATATTTTTTGCCTAGCTTGAAACTTGACAGGTTCTGTGTGCAACCTGGTGGTAAAAGCAAGATAGATATAATTTCCTAAGTAATTGTCAGATGACACAGGTTCACCTGTGAAGTAACAGTTGGCTAGAGGTAGATGCCTCACGCATAGCAAACTAGTTCTGGTAGCAGTTGGGGATGGATAGATTTTTCACATATTGAGCAACGGGACTGGGCTGGGGTGGCTGGTCAGTATAATAGCCGGATTTCCAGGGTTAACCCAGACAGACCTGTATCCCAGGCTGCCCACTTCAAAATACAGCTTGGGCCATTAAACTCCTGGGTTGTGTGGCTAACAGCATGCATGCTGACAGCTAATGCCGAGCGTGGTGCTAGCTCTGTCTGAATTTTGGTCCAGATGAGTCTGGCACATCCAGTTGCTGAAGTACAACAAATCAGAGCCCTGTTCTCGGTGAGCCTGCAATAGTTGTGGGCGCTGGTGATAGCAACAAAAGGTTTGTTTGTACCAACAGGGAACAGTGAGGTCAGGCACAAGCTATTGGAACTATTAATGCATTTTTAAGTGCTGAGAATTAGGAATATTTTATTAATTCTGGGAGACCTGAATGTGTAACTTATGCTAGGGTCTCCTTTGTGGTATCGTTCCCAGTTAAAACACATGGGCTTGCCTAATTTAATTGAAACAATTACAGTGGTGTTGAGAGTAATGTTTTCTACTAGTTTGCCCACCTCCTGAGGGAGAGATGGTGTTTTGCAGGGGCAGAAGAGTTGGTTGCCTCAGGAGCAAAGAAAGCCCACTGGACTTGGAAGCTCTGAAGTCCTGACACCAGTGGGTGCAGTGTATGTCCAGTGTAACTAACATACTATGTAAAGTCTCAACATTTTAAAGTCTGGATCTTTACCAGTTCTGCTTTCATACACACACAGTGGTTTCATGGACTTCTGGTTTATATGAACGTTGAAGGATGAAGTGTTATAAGGTAGAAGGATGATGGGTCTTGGTTTACGTCTGGCTGAACTGGCTTCCAGAAGGTCTGGAAGAAGGTCTGTGGATGGAGTTTAGGCTGGGTGGTTGGTGGTGTTCCCTGCTCCCCCGTCCTGATTGGGAAGAGAGGGGGGCTGTCTGTTTTAGCAAAATCTTGTTCTGAATTCTTGCCAGTCTGATTTCTGGAATGTTGAAACTACAGTAATCTTATGGGGAGACTAAGCTAGTAATTTGAGATCAATATATAGGTGGTGTAAATAGTGTCATTAATCTATCAGCTTTGATGCTTAAGATACTAAAGAGGTTAATTGGAAAGATCAACTGTAGGCTGTGCAACACGTGATTATCTCAGACTGCTTGTGGCGCAGAAGATACACTTCAGCATGTGCAGAGAAAAACCAATGAGACCTTTGCATTTAAAGTCACATTCTTGCTCTGGGTTGCTTGTTTTCACTGTTAAAATGGATTTATTTCATTGAGAAAACTTTTTTTTTTTGTCTGTCTAATGTTCATGGAATAGATGCTGAATAGATCAGGAACTTCGTCCTGTTTCTGATCACCACCTTGTTACCCATGAAGTTGCCTCTGACCTAATGTAGCCTGTTGTAGTAATGCCCGATTTCTGGATCAGCTGGGCACCTTGATGAAAAATAACAGGACCTTATCTGTGTTAGTGTATTCTCTTCTGCCCTTCCCCCTAAATTCTGGGCTCAGGCAACTCTGAAAAAACCTTAGGATTTTTTATTTTAGTGAAAGTGGTGCAGTCAACTTCTTTACGTAACCCTAGTGTCTCATCTTGGTCATGAAATTGATACCTTGCTTATTTGATATGGATATACCACTTCTGAAAATAAAACATTTCCAGTATTTGCCTGACATTCAAATACTAACATGCCCTTTATGTCCAGGAAGGCTTGGCAATGATTAGCTTTGTTTTTCTACAAAGCAATCCTGTTTTTCCCTGAAGTAATATTGAATCCTTTTTGGAAATAAAATCTATTTTTTTGCTTTTTTAGTGCACTTTATTTCTGGTACAAATTCCAGTCCAAGGGCCAAAGACAACCCTGGTGTAAATCTACTGAGTTCAGTGAGGTTACCCTAGAGATTAGCTTGGCGCTACTTGTTTAGGATATGGACCCGTAAAGTGCTGAGTGTCCTCAGCTCCCATCAATGTCAGCACCTCACTGACTCGGCTCCTTGTGCTACGTTCTTGCAAGATTCTTGGAAAGTCTTATGTTTCTGACTCTGGTAATACGGTAGTTAGCAGTGAAAACTAATAGATAAATATGTGTGCATTCCCAAACACTGGAGTTTTGTTTGCTTTAAGCTCACAAGTATGATGCTCAAGCCAAAAGAAATAAAGCACCATTTCAACATTAAGGACTTCCTTTTTATGTTTACAACAATATGTTCCATCAGAAATATAAATGCAAGTGAGTTTGCCCTTAAATCACTTGAGAAGGCAAAGCCTGTAGGACCCCACCTCATACAGGTGAGGGCCTCCCTTGCTTTTGTAATGGAGGAGGCTGATCCTCCCCCTTAATTTCCAAGTAGAACCTTTATTTGCTTTTGTATGAATTCCCTTTATTCTGCCTTTTGTTTAGGAATGGCTGTATGTTTCTATGCTGATCATGTAAAGTTCAGGTGTCTGGTAACTGTTCCCTTTAAGGGGGAAATAATAGAACTTGACCCAGCTTAGCGAGGTGCAAGAAACCAAATTTTTCTTCCAGAACTCACTGAAGTGGGAAGCTTCCTTCTGAGGTCAGAATAGGCCCAATATGGGCAACTGGGATTAGTGTAACAGAGTTTCAATTCTTTAAAGAATGAATTTCAAACAAGAAGATAGTTGTCATTGACTATGCAGAAGATTATTTTTGAGGAGAACGAGTCCAATCTTTCCATAAAATCAGGTACTAGAAAGCACCTTGAGCTGGAATGGGGGCTGGAGAAGAAGAAACTAACATGCAAGAGAGGATTTACTTACTTTTTTTTAAAATATATGTAAAGCTGATAGGCCCATGTGGACACTCTCCCTCTTTTGCTAATATGCTTCTGTATTGTAATTTTGCTGGGGGAAATGGGGAAGCTGAGGTGGAATAGTTAAGAACTTGCCTGAGAATGAATGGAGGTGCCTCAGAGCTGACCTTTGAGGAGTCTTTGGTTCCTAAGTTTGGGCTTGATTTTTCACTTGGTGGAGAAAGATTAGGCAAGGGCATCACTGAAACAACAGTCCACAGGGCAATTGAGCTCATCTGTCTTGCAGGTTTTTGAAAAGAAAGCTGAAAACCTTGTGCTTTCTTGAGTGACTCCTGCCTGTGGCTCCAAAGAGAATCCTGTCCTTCCCCAAATTGTTTCTGAGGGCAAAAATTTCCTGGAGATGAAGGCACGCATTAAAAATCTTTTGACTCCAAACCTTGTGGTTTATATGTATTATCAATACTTTCAGGTATAAAACACCAGGACACTTCTTTGTGGTCAAAGTTTAACATTTCATAGCTTTTCTAAATATCATTTCACTCCTTCAATAATTGTGTCAGAAACAGAACTTCTCCCTGTGGCTAACTTCAGGTGTTTTGCAAAGTGTGTGTATGTTTGAGGTGGTTATCAAGCACTTGAAGGTGTTAATTGGGGCATATCTGTGGCAGTTACCTGTGTGCCGTGGTGTAGATGTGCATTATATGCATTGTGTGTTGTTTTGCATGCACCTATTATTGGAGGTTTATAAACAGTTATGATGACCATTTGCACACGCTAAGGATATGTGCTTGTGTTACGTGCCCTGTGAAAGTCTCTCTGGTGGAATGAGGACTGCTGCCTGTTTTTGGACATGGTTGGCAAGCACTGCCTGCAGTGCATAGTGTCGAAATTCAGTGCTACGTGGTTGGTTTTTAAGATGGTGTGGTATGGGTAGGAAGGCGTAGAGAGCTTGGCTAGAACCTCTCTTTTTCTGGAAGACTATTTAATTGCATCCCTCTCCTTTTAATATTAAATGCCAGTGATCATTTCTTGTCATATTCTCAGATCAGACTCCTACACCAACACGCTTTCTGAAGAACTGTGAGGAAGTGGGCCTCTTCAACGACATCGATTGCTCCCTAGAGCACGAGTTCAGAAAGGCACAAGAAGAAGAGAACAACAAAAGGGTGAGTGTGAGCGTACTGAACACTTTGTCCCCTTTTGATTCCATGAAATGTTGAAAGACGCTGTGTGAAAGCAGATTGAGCTGTACTACCTGGTAGTAACCTTTTGGTTAGAAACTAGGTGGCACTGTAAGTTGTGACACACTTTCTGAGCTATTGAAACAGTTGACAAAAAAACCAACCCCAAACCAACAAAAAACTAGCATTAAATTTGCAGAAGTGTGTAGCTGTGTTTGCCAGGGTTTGATTCCAAGTCTCTACTTTTAAGTAAACTGTAATACAAACCACACACCTTGAGGGAGAGACTTGGGAAAATTATATCATCTTTGACGTGAGAACTGCAAACTTGCTCAAATATATTACATGGAAATGTGGATTATGAAGAGGAATTTAGTTTAAAAAAAAAAAAGTTTTGCTCTTTCCTCTGTAACCTGATGGGCCTCTGGATTTATTTGTCATCGTTACCAGCTTTATTGTGTTTCTGTATTTCTCCTATTGGTGTGGAAGGGGGAACCTTTAAATCGTAATACCTAGCTGATAACATATTCCATTTCCAATTACTGTTCTTTTGGTCTTAGTATTTGCAAGTTTATGTTGAATTATATAGGCCACTTTGTATGGGGTTAACTGTACTCTTGTGCCCAAAGATTGTTAGAGTGTTTTGAGGGATCCTAAAGAGCTATTAAAATTTTCAAGGAATTGTAAAAGAGCTTAATGCACTACAGAGGCCAGCAAGAGGTAATGGATGAAATTTTAACTTTTCAAATAAGCATCCAAAGTTCTGGTTGCTTCTGAGAACTAAAACATGCCAGTAATGTGGGGCTGCCTACAGGAGCATATTGCTCCCTGCAGCCCTCCAACAACCTGCTCAGTGCCTCCCCTTCACAATGTTCCCTTTTGTGCCTCTGTTTTCCCGTCTCCCATTTCTGCAGCTCTTGGAAATTCTTAGGTAATGTGGCCCCTGCTGTAGGAGTTCCCCAGTTATTGAACACTGTGCTATTTTGCTTAGTTCTCACGGTAATCTCTATTTGTCTAATTTGAACATTAACCAACACCACAGACTACAAGTAGGAAAAGGCAGCCACAAAGCAGCTATGGTGCTAAAGCCAGAGGGCACTTCTCCTTAGCTTGCTTCGGCACTGTTTTGCCTTTCGGAGTGTCTGTACCTCCAATTGCAAGGGCTACGTCTATAGGAACTCTTTCTTGTAGCTGCTGTATTGTAATTGGCTTTGCCTATCAGTGATTGCTGTCCAACTCGAATTTCATGCGTGTGAGGCGTATGTGTGCTGCTGGGGCTTGTGGAGTCGGGAGGTAGCGGCATTTAGGGGGCTGGAGGTCTGCAAAGTAAAGGCCCAAGGGGACTTTTTGGAAAAAAGAGGTAAAACTGATTGCTGAGGTGCAGGATGGGCGATGAAGCATATAGAAAGAAGATGGGAAGGAAGTCTAGGATTGGTTTAGTTTTGGCTTATAGGAAAGGGAGTCTAGGGATCGTTTATTTGTGGCTCATGAGGAAAGAGACTGGGACAAATAGAAGAGAAGAGGACAGAGGCTGTGGCATGGTACGCTGAGCAAGGAAAAAGAGAGTCCAAATGTGAGAGAGTCCAAGGATTGGGAAAATAGCCCAGACTGACCCTCACAGCTTTGTGTGCAGGATGCAACAGCCATGTAATGAGATAACAAGTTAAATCTAAAATTAGACACATTTAATGCTTTATTTCTTGTGTGCTGCAGAGGGGAGAGATTTGGCCAAAATCAAGAACGTTTCTGTACGTTCCTACTTCTTTGCAAATTAGATGACTACTAAGTGGTTCTTTCTGTGTGGTGCTTATTTTGCAGGAGTAGGAGATGCAGAGAAATCTACTCATATAGACTTCTGCGCAGTTAGCCACAGACTGCAACGTTTGATGTTGCAGAGTCCTTTTCAGCTTACAAGGGGTAGTTGCACAATCTGATTAAAACCTAGACAAGGGCATCAAGTTACCTGATAATTCCAATTGTTTAGTGGCCTCTGAAGTCTTATTCTGCCCTCCTCCTACCAAACCCTGCAGCTGCCATGGGTGATCTCCAGGGAGCAAATGAGTGATGGGCGGGAGGGAAATAATTAAAAAACAGAAAAAGGAGGGGGTGGAAAAAAAGGTAAAAAAGGCAAAAGTCCCACTAGCTAGCTAACCTGTAACATTTGCTCTGTGTTTCCAATTAGTCTGCTGTATGTTCATACTTACATTACCGACTGACTGTCAGATAGGAATCTGAAGCGGGCCCCAGTAGGGCTTTAAGCAAATGCAGGAGACAAAGACCACGACAGAAGGGGACTCCTCGGGCGGCAACTGTCGCTAGCGAAATGCTTCTAACAGGCTGCCCCTGGAATATGAGTGCAATATAGCGTTGTCCTTATGGACCTACCGACACTTGGAGACTAAGACTAGCTGCATGGAAATCTTACAGCTCAGACAAGTCTTCCAAAAATATTTTTGGTCTGCTTAATTTCTCTGGATTCTGAAAGAAATAATTTTGTTTATTTTAGTGTATCACTGTGGCTTAGCACACAGCTTGACACTGAAATCTTGTAAGAGGAAAAACACTTTCCCTTTTTTTTTTTTTCTTTCCTTGAGAGTCATCATTTGAAAACTTAGAATAAAGTCCAATTAGCTGTGTTCTTTTTTTTCTTTTTCTGTTTGTTTTTTCTTCTCTTCTGAGTGGGAGCCCATGGATAATCCATGAGAATTTGTTGTGATTAAGCTGGTTATGTGGACTGGTGACATTCCAAATTAGCTGTGAAGAACTGAGTGAACAGTTTTAGGAACACTGTGTGTAGATTTTTATGTAAAGGTGGCATTGAAGGAAAAGCGCTTGCATTAATATCCCAGCTGCTTATCCTGGAAGAAATCACTTAATGTCTTTCTGTCATAGTTGCTCATGTGTAAAGTGAGAGTAGTGTCTCTGCCTCCCATACTTGATACGTCTTATGATTGTCAGCTCATCTGTCAAGCACCATGTCTTAAAGTGTATGTGGGTTAGCCTTTGCTCGAGGACAGAGCAGACTCAAGTAATAATAATGATGGTAACCTCCAGGACCTGAACTGAAAGGAAAAAAGTAAACTTATAAATGGAAGTGAGATTGTCAGTTTGTTTTTGGCTCCTCTGTTGCCTGTACCATCAAATATCAGCTGAAAATCTCTGCTTGAGAAACGCCTACTCCCTAAACGTAAAGGCTGCTGTAGATCAGCAAGAAGGATATTGATGAGCATATGAGAAGGGGGCTTTTTGCATCCTCTTGACGGCACTCTTCCTGACACAAGGATACTACCTGCCAAGCTCACCACCAAAATTGGCGCAGGTAAAAGCATACCTATACTGTATTTCTACCTGCAGCAGTGCAAATATTAAAGCTCATAGGGGTTTGAGGCACGCAGCAGTTGACAACTTGGCCCCAGACAAAATTTGCAACCCAAATCGACAAGGCAGGTAGTGCTGGCAGATCAGATGACCATCTTAGCCTACTAGCTGCAGGTTTTAGGTTTACACCGCTCGAGGCATTAAGTATCCAAAGCATTTGTAATGATTTATACTTGCAAACACATGACCTTTGCTGCTACTGGATAGGCCCTGCTGTTGCATTTTATTTTGAGCATTGAGGTTGGGTCTGAGAGTATAATGTCAAAGATGGGGACAGTCCGGATCTTTTTTTGAATAACTAATTGTAAAGGGAAAATAAAACCCCACAAAAAACAAATACAGGGCATTTGGTGGTTGAATAGGCTCTGTCTACGGAATGATTTAAAGTCTGAGTATTCAGTTTAGTTCTGTTAAGCAAGGAATGATGCTACAGGCTGATGCATATATAAAAGGTATAAATTCGGTTTGTACCTTCTATGTTCTTCTGCCTCGTATATACCAGGATAGATTTCTCTCTATCAGCGCAAGAAGATAGATAAAATGCACTTGTCTAATTTATCTTGCAAATATTTTCTGAATCTCATAGCTCTGTATTGTAGCCTATGAGTATGGGGAAGATGATCTAATTGAAGGCAAGCTGGAAATGATAGAATTTCTCTCTCGAACAGGGGTAGTTTGGTGGAAAATTTCACTTAATTTCCACAGCTTGTTTAAATTTGACACAATGTATACCTGGCCTGCAGGTTTTACTTTCTGTCTTCTGAAAAGTATGCAGACAGAAAAAAATGTGATGGGTTTTGTGTGATTTAAGCATGTTTTTTTAAAGGAAACCTCTTGCATTGCAACAAGGAGATTAAAAGTACATACCGAATCAATAGGCCTAAATTTGACTGAATAAGAATGTCCAATAAGCATTTCTTGCATTGCAGAAACTTAGTGGGATTTGCTCCTGGGTTTCTTTTTCAGAGGCTTATTTTAAGTTAATGACCAAACCAACCAAAAAGGGGTCTGATCCTGTTTGCTTATGTCAATGGTGAGAGAGGCAGGCCCTGGGAGACATACTACTCATCTGCAGCAGATGCCATTTTGAAATATTCTGACTTTCCCCAGTAGGAGAACCTACAAGAGCTGTGTTGTTTAGATATAAGAAGACGCTTCTTGTTTTAATCTGGTCCATCATTCCATCACAGCAGAAGGTTCACTGGGTTTTAGAGGACTATATTGATGCATATGATAACGCTGGCAATGCACTGTGTTGCTGAAAGAAGAGAAAAATACAGATGAAGGGTTCATTATGGTGGTTGGCTTGGCTGATGGACTACAATTCAACACTGGCCATTTATGAAAAACAGCTACTCTCACTCACTTGACTCTTTCCTCCTCACATGATTAATGTACAGTACAAAGCCTTGTTTCAAGAATATGTATACTTTTTTTTTTGTTCAGTTTTCTAGTAGTGTAGGACAGGAGGTCTGCAGATTCGTTTTCTTTTAAGCATGGTTGTGTGGAAGGTGGTGTCAAAGCTGCAGTGCATTGGTGCAAAACAGTATGACTTCCGAGTGTATGCCCTGCCTCTATAGCAGTCACGTTAGCTGCGGTCTCCCCTT